CGGGCCATTTTCACTGCGCTGTTTAGAGAAAGTGTTTCCGGACAAGTGAACACAAGAGCGTGTATTCTAAACCTGATTCACGATCCACTTCAACAGACCTTTGGACTTTTAAACTTTTAACTAACGGTAGAAACGGCTTTACTTTTAACGTGGAATAATATTGTTTTGCCGCAGAAACCAGATCAGCATATCATCACCTTGTAAGTTGATATGGCAAACCTGTATTTACCAGCCTTGAATAACCTAATAGCCTCATTAGGACGCCACAGTTGCAGGTTTTTATTTATATAAATATATATGTAAATAAATGTATTGTAATGAATAAATACAAAATATACTCCTCGTTCTGCTCGGTATTGGTGTTTAAAGATTGTCTGTTTAGCTGCTAAATGCTGTACTATGTTCACAAGTTAGACTCTTTGTCTGTCTCACACGTGGTGCCGGATGTGCAGGGTCATCTTTCACATTTTCTGACAAAAAGCAGCTGCCTGCAAAACGCCTTGGAGAGCAGTGAGAGTGAACCAACAACAAGTCTGCAAATCGAAACAAAAAATAAGCTGTACAGCTTAGTTGGGTTATTGACCTCGACTGTAGACCCGATCCCAACTTGAGCCAACCAGTCTCACTCTGCCGCACAGACTCTCCTGCATCTTTAAAATGTTCTTCCTTTTCTATTCATAGGTAGTCGTGATCTAGTGACGTGTACAAGTGGTTACCTGCAGGGGTTGGAGGGGCATCTTTACCAGAGTGCGTCAGCATATCATTTTAACATCTGAACTGTTATTATTATTTTTCTGAATCCTTCTGACATCCTGGATTCAGCCTTCAAACACTTACCGCAGACTGAAATATTTTCTTCAAAAATCTCTAATATTTCAGGGGGTGGAGTGCGATCTCCATATATATATAATATAATATATATTAGTGAAATATATATGAACACTAATCAACTAACAACTCAGAAAGTATAATCAACAGCCCTCCATTCTGACCGATTCATGTGAGTAGTGTTCTTCTCTTTGAAATGATTTTATTGTGTGGCTTGGAACTCTTAACAGGGACATCGACATGTATATTACTAATTTAAAAGGTAAGCCTGTCCATAAATAGCACTATGTCTGCAGAGAGCTTTGGTAAATACAGGCCTAACTGAACCGACACAAGCAGGCCACAGCCTCCGTGTGACAACCTCCATCTCCAGATGGTGGACTGCAGTTAAAGGGAGAAAGGCGGGTGGGGGTGGGGGGGGGTCAGACGTCAGGAATGAGGAAATCCCACCCCGGCCCCGGCAGATAGAGGACAGGAAGCACTGCCCATTGAGCACAAATTCACCCTCAGTATTGCAACACGCGCTGCTCGGGGTGAGCACCTGAGAGGGCACGGGACGGGACATGTGGCCACCTGATGGTCAGGTGGCCTTTACGTCCCTGATGACATCTACAGGCCGAGAGAGGAGAAGAGTTAATGAGGAAACAGTTGTCAGGTCCAGGAGCCCCATTCATCAAGTGAACATCTGAACCGGCGACCAGCTAAATGAGAAGTAACTTAGCTCAACGCAAGCACAGGCCTGATGGCCAAATGGATTCTCTTATAATAGCTCACTCCTAACTTTAATTAAGTCAAATTCACAGCATGTGACAAAGTCATTGGACCACAATTGACCAAAAAGTGTCTTTGGCATTTGCTGAACAAGCAACCGCGACAGCCCGGTTGTTTGTGAGGCCTCGCAGAGTGATCACCACAGGTGATGACGCTTTTCTCTGTGATCTCCGACAGTTTTATGACCCGCGTAATTAGAGACTCAAACACACGAGGGGAGCAAAGTTGAGCAGGCACCTCGATCGGCTTCGGCAGATCTCGGGATAAGAGAGTGTTTGCAGACACGCAGCGTCAAGCCGCTGCACCCGCCGCTCTGTTGAGCGTCACGAAATGTGATGCTTTGACGGAGGAACGGGTTGCTGAGTGAGATGTTACCTGTGAGGGTTGGTGAGCGGCGTGGGGGTTTTGGAGAGGGAGGGAGAGTCATCTTAAGTTTGAGCTAACCGTCGTTTCAGTCTTCCCACCACCTGTCTGTCAAGCTTACTTTGAGTCAGTGCCACGGACTGATGAGTCGGGTTTAGAAACTAGCGAAATGAGGAAGGACGTCACTTCCTCAGGCCTTTCTCTTGCAAAGACATCAAATCAAAACATGTTCAGCTGTTTATATCTCTGCAAATGAAAGAATGTAAACTGACCTTTCCCCTTATCCAACTCATCAGTGCGTCCCAGCCGGGGTGCTTGTGTGGGAAAGATTATGATCAGTTGTTGCACACTGTTTGTCCCCCAACCCCTTTTTCCCTAGAGTTTCTTTTTCAGGTGTGGATGGATCAAGCATATCACAACTCAGATTGAATGGAGATCACTTCAGTTTTATGTCCATTCACGTCCATAAAGTTACAGCTGCAATAATATACAAAAAAAAGGATACAGTCATAACACTTTCCTACTACGGTGCAGAGCGGCTGGCTCCCTCTGTTTTATTTATCTGATACCACGTCACACCTCCAACTGTGAGCACAGAACGATGGACAAAGGTCCATCCAAACAGTGCATGTCTTTGCGTAACACACACACACATATATATATATATATATATATATATATACATACATATGTGTGAGACACAGAGAGGGAGAGAGAATGAGGCTAGCCAAGGATGTTGGGGCGTTTAGGGGGAATCTGCAAACTAATTGCACGAGAAAATCCAAATGGACGCCCTCATTAGCCGTGAACGAATAAGGAATGTTCTAAATAGTTTTTACATAACAGGAACCCTGACATCAAAGAATTCCTGTCCTGACTGGGCTGAATGTCAACAAGACGACGCTCCAGTTTTCCAAGAATTCATTGGAGTTGGGTGGGACAACGCCCTCGCCGAGCGCAAAGGCTTGATGAAATAAAGCCTAAATACAGGGACAATCTATTATCATATCCTAAGCAAAAGGCGCTGCCCCAGCATGGATGTCAAACATGCTGGTTTGGATCCAGCTTTTAGAATCTGGGGGTCACCATGCCACTCTACTCTAATAACACTATTAATATATCCAGGTCAATCTATTTAACACAGGTGCATTTCCTTAAGTAGCAACCTGAATCACACGTATATATTCATATGACCAAAACGTACAATTGGCTTCTCTGTACATTACTTTTGTGAGCATGTATTAAATGTGAGTAAACAGACTTGAGCTAAACAAATCACTACATTCATTTCCATTCATCAGCATCCTGTCATTGAAACACGACCCTTCACGTTGTGCACGCACTCATTGTGAGTCAGAGGAGCGAGTCTCTTCCTCCCTGGCACCGTCCCCCCCCCGTGGCCCAATGAGAACGTCTCTGCAGCTCTTTGAGCCTCCTGCAGCCAACGTCCCCCCCACGGCCCCCCGGGACCGGACGAGCTCAACCCCACCCGGCTCGAGAGCACGTAAAAGGGACGCGGTCCGGAGCAAGAAGTGGGACACGGACGCACGCGAAGCACGGGGAGCATGTTCCCTCCCCGCGGCGGAATGTGCACGTGGGGCGAAACAATGCTGGGAACAGTGGCCTTATCTTGTGAAGGATGTACAGAAATGGAGAAGAAGCAAACGATCACACAACAATCGAAGCAAAGAGACATTTCGCACGCAACGAATCATTTATTAATCTGAGGTGTCGTTTCCATCCAATGCTCGTTAATCTGCGCTTTAAGACATCACCTGTGAGGCCCCGAAAACAACCAACCCTCCTCTGTTCTTCGTTGTTTACTCCCATGACAGGCTGTGATCTCACAGATAAGGAACGTTCCTCATGCAAATACCTCAACAACGGTTTGATAACGTGAACCAAGTTTCCCATGTAGTAATCACCGACTTTGACAAAACCGGAGTCAATACTGAAAATCTTTGTTATTCTGGTATCAAGTATCGTCAGATGTCTGGTTTGTGGCACGAGGCCCTCGGTGTTGGACTGTAGAGGCATTCCTGTTTCATGACGGGGTGGAGGGAAGGCTCTGTGAGGAGCATCTGACCTGGCAGGTTCATTACGGCGGACCGCACCGTGACGCTGCAGGAATCTGCTTCCGCCTTCTTGCCACCATAACTAAAAATAACAACACTGATCAAGTACGTTTGCACATAATAGGTTTGTGTTTGAATGAGAACTTTAAGGTGTTTGACCCCCCCGTACAGATTGATGTGCACTCACAGTGTGAAACCACCTGCTGGAGCGCCGTAGCGTCCGTGTTCTCCCTGAAGCACAGGCTTGTCTCTGGAACATTGTGTGTTATATGTGCTCAACTTCTCATCGCATCCTGACGGCGATCGATTAATCAAGTAACCATAAGTCTAACTGGGCACCTGCTACGGGGGCCACACGGGGAGGCTGACACCTCTGGGAAGACCAAGTCAGTGGTCCTGTTATCTTGTTTCGAAAATGAAATGAAAAAAAAAATTGCTTTATGTGCAGTGTAGCATTGAGTAGCTTAAGGGCTTATTCAATACTTACTTAGAAGCCTCGGTCGCTTCAACTTTTAACAATTTCCTTTCACATATTATGTCTCCTGCAAGTCCTTCAAAGTCACAGAAGTGCAGCACTAAATTGCAGGAATGTCCCTTTAAAAGCATGCATGCAATTCCACTCATTAAACTATTCAATTTAGCAACTACTCAATCATCTTGTAGCTTTGAGCAAATTCTTCCTGTACATCACTATGTAAATAACGCAGTTCAAACTCTCCCTGGACCTGAACCACTCCTCCTCCCTTTCACTAGGCCCCTTGGAAGAATCTTCACCTCCCTGCACGGAGAGCCGGAGGAATGCCTGCCTTGCCAAATTCCTCAGTGTTGTTTGTTGGGGTTTACAGTGCTAGCAACACAGGCTACCAAATACCAAAGTGAGCAGTCACTCACTGGAGACCCGCACACGGCTGAGCGGAGCGATGTCGTAAAACTTTGGTAGCAAAAGAATGAAAAACACATGTCTTCAAATTTGTTTTTCCCCACTTTATTTCCATTCTTTCTATCAGCCTTTTTCGTTAGGGAAGCAGTAAAATAGAACTGTTCCCCCTGCTGCCTTTCGGCGTTTGGGAGGTTGAGCGCCCCACATGGTTGATATTAACATTCCATCAGCTTTTCTAATGAGGAGGACAAAGCGAGCCGCAAGGGAAGGTTCGTGACAGCATTGGCAGGGCGCACGCATTCCTGCACTCGACTGGCCAGGGGGCCTCTGCAGGGCGGGCGGTGCTGGAGCGGTTGGGGGGGCTTGAGACAAGTAACTGGGGGAAACGAGGAGAGCGACGGGCTGAAGCTGCCTCCTCGCCCTCCCTGCACATGTACACATGTGGGATTTTCCCCGTCAGGACAGGCGCGCAGGGAAGACGGAAGCTCCTTTGTCTCACTGAGACGTTCTTCTCTCTGGACGTAAATGTAAAGTTGCATCAATGTTCCAGGCAACGTGATGAATTGGAATGTGCAGAGTCCTATGGGTAAAGGGTGCAAAGGACCCGGGTGGAACACAGCAAGCAGTTATGGAAACGCCATTTCAATCGATTAAAGGGCACTTTCCTTCTGTGGTTTTATAATAAAATCCAGCCCTGACTGACAGGTGTGCAAAAACACAAACAATCTTGATGTAAAATCAGATCTTGAAAAAAAAATTTAAAAAAAAAGATCCAGGAAATCCAACACAATTCACAACTGGAACGCCAGATGTTGTCCAGGCGTGGATGGAATGCAACAACACGTCTCTGGCACAACAGCCCGTGGGTTCACCATCTTCACGCTTAAAGTTTGTCAGATGCGGCTTCCTGAAACTTACTTTACAGTTTTTACACTGTCAAATAGAGGCAAAATGATTACTAGCTTCAGCTAGTATACAATGAATGGTTATCTAAAGCTTTATTTACAGATTAAATAATGAATAAATCTGGAAAATGACTGGGAGATTAACAATAATTGTCATCCCTAAAACAAAAACGAGGGCAGCAAAAAAAAAAGGCAAAGCAAAACATTACCAGCTGACAATGAGAGCTTTCAGTAGATTCACCGCGCTGTAAAACGCTGGTCTAGTTTGAACATCTTTCCGTCATCTTTTTTTGGATTACAAACACGGAGTCTGTTGCACAGGATGCGATTATCAGCAGAATAAGACATGCGGTGATGCAACGCGTTTAATCAGTCAGCCTCTGGGTAAGCTGGATGGCGGGCCAGGTTGCATGAGGCCACAGCGCACGCCAGAGCCCCCGTGAACTGTGCAGTTACAATTGTCTCTCTAACGTTAAACGTCTTCCTCCACCACGCGCAGGAGCGCCATCCTTCACACTGCTGTCGAAGGCAGCTTTCTATTCTTCTTTTGTTACACTTTTCTTGGCCGGAGTCTGAGCGGACTGCGGCCCCGAGCCACCTGGATACTTGGACTCTATCTTGTTGCTGTTGACCCTCATGGCCTGGATGTGAAGGTCCAGTGTCTGGACCAGCTCCTCGGCCAGAACGCTTTCTCTATTCAGGAAATCGCAGGCCCTGTCGTCCGCCGGTGACGTGGACTCCTGGGACGGCAGACAAACACACGGCTGTAGGATTCTTAACTTGACCTCTTCTGCAACTGTGGATTATGACCTGTGACGAGCCTCACCGCTGGAGAGGGAGAAGACAGGGCGTTGTCTACGCACTCGCTCTGCATCCCGTCCCCGTCTTCGCCATATCGGGTGGCTTCATCGCGACAAGCAGGCTGGGGCTGGTCCCTCGTGGCGCGGCTGAGGAAGGCTCGCTCATATCGCTCTTGCATCTCCTCCATCGCCTGCCTCAGCTGCCGGTTCTCTCGTTCCGGGCTGATCAGAGGCGGCGCGTGGCTCTCCCTCAAGGACGCATGCGAGGGATCTCCTGTCTGAGGGAGGGAGTTAAAAAAAAAGGTGCGGAGTCAAAGGAGTCAGATTAAATGAACACGAGCCAAACTCAGGAAAGAACTAGAGTCACAGCTGACAAACCTTGGCGGACTGAGGCTGCAGCAGAGCCTTCAGCTGCTGGTTCTCAGCCTCCAGCTGTGCGCGAGTGATCTGAAAAAGACGGGAATCAAATTCTATTTGAATATAGATCTACTTTCAGCGCTTCCATCTTTACGCCACAGTCTGCCCTCCCGTCTGAAGGAGCCCCGTGTTCCCCTCGCGAGTGTTTTGTCGTGAAGCCCCACAAACATTACGGCGCCACGGGGCTACGCCAGGTCACTGGCTCACCGCGAGCTCAGCCGCCCTCCGCTGCGCTCGCTCCGCCTCGCTTCGGACGCCGGCCGAGGAGCCCCTCAGCGCGGCGAGGTCGCCGTTGCTCTGGTGCAGCTCAGCGGTCAGCTTGGACACCTCCCTCCTCATTCCCTCCACCTCGCCGCGGTGAGTCTGCCTGGCACTGTGGAGCTCTTCCCGGAGCTGTGGGAGGAATCGGGAGACGGGGCATGGCGGGCGTCGATCGGGGGATGCTTCACACGCAACAACGTGCGCCGGTCACGGGCGCTTTCTGACCTTTTTCGCTTCCGCAACAGCGGCGTCGCGTTGTGCCTCGCTACTCCGTCGACTCTCCTTCTCCGGCCTGAGCAGATCAACAAATACGCGAGAAGCCAAACCATGTTGTTATCGCGAATTGAGTACAAACAGAAGTGTCGAGCGCATACGATTCGGCGTTCACCTGTCGGTGAGCGCTGCCAGCTGGGCCTTGAGCTGAGCCTCGCGCGCTTCGGAGCAGCGGAGCCTGGTTGCAGTCTTCTCCAGATCTTGACTGAGGGTTTCCACGCCTGCGCAGCCCCGAGCCGCCAGGCAGTCCTCCAGAGAGCTGAGGAGATGAGGAGCGTTCTTCACTGACTTCTGTCCCACAGCACACAAGCGCTGGACCGGTTGTGCCGCAACTACTGTGCCTTTCTGGGTAAGTGCACGCTGCCCCCTTGTGGGTTGTTGCCGTCCTACACCCTGAAAACGCACCGTTTACCCACCGAACCACTTGATCTTTCACTTGGAGTAGTTGTCGGAGCTCGGCAGCTTCGTTGCGGAGCCTTTGGTGTTGCGGAGTGGCTCTCTGCACAGAGGAACGCTGGGAGTTAGGCGAGGAGTGGAGTTCCCCTCTTTCCTCTAGAGGGACCTGCTGGACAGCAGTGGATTATCAGATGACCGTTAGATTTCTTTGCTATATTATTTCTTTTAGATATTACGCTGTTCCACTACAATGTTATTTGACTGCAAGGAGTCTTACAGACACATATATCATAAACTCTGACTGGGACAACAAACTAACAAATCCTGCTTACTAATATGGAATTAATGACTCAAGAAAATTAAGTAATTGCCGGCAAGGTGGATTTTGGGGGATCAGAGCACATCTTAGTCAACTGTCAACTAAGCTGCTTTTATTCAGTGTTTTATCGACTTTGAGGCCAACAAAGCATCTGTAATAAGTCCATAGAGCAGTAAAGCTTTGTTTAATTCAAAAGGGGACAGCGGTTTAAAGTCACCTGGCTGTATCTGGGCGCTAATAGAGGTACTTCAGGGATGCAGTGTTTGAGAACACAACATTATTAAACATTAGCTAATGAATGAATGCTTTTGGTCGTGGACGGCTCTGCGCTTACCTGCTGCTCTCTGTGGTGCTGTCCCAGCCACATCTCCAGCAGCCGGAGGCGTTCCAGTTCCAGCTCCTGTGAGTGCATGCTGCCCTGAGTCTTCTCCAGCTGCGTACGCACGTGCTGCACCTCTGGACAGCACTCCCCGTGCTCCCTGTCCTTCTGCCACAAAGCCCACTGGGCCTGCAGAGGCAATGAATACGTCACTTCCTTGTTCTTCTGAGTTTGTATCCCTATGGGTGAATGCACTTACAATAAGTAAGTCGCTTTGGATAAAAGCGTCAGCTAAATGACATGTAACGTAACGTCACGGTGGTCTGCCTCCATCTGCTTCAATGGTAAACTTGACAGAATTAACATGTTTTGTTAACGCATTTGCTTTTACTTTCAGGTGTGTGAGCTCATCAGTCAGACTCTTATTTTGGGCCTCGAGCGTCGACAGTTGTTTTTGGAGCTGGATACGTTGCTGTTCCCATTTTAAAGAGCACTGGCGATCGTCCTGTAAGGGAGAGACAAGGATGGACACACTCCACATAACCAGTGGACGGCGGTACGGGGAAATCTGTGATGGGCAATGGAAGGGCCGGGACATAAAGGGAATGGACGTCTGTGGCACCTCGATCTTTTCATTGAGTCGGGTCACCTCGGAGCGGTCGGCCTCTCTCACGTTTGCTCCGCCACTCGTCTCCTTGAGCTGTTTCCGCTGAAGCTTGAGATAACTTCTCTTTAGTTTATCCAACTGCAGAAAAAAGGATTCTCAAGTTTGTAAATCCAGTTTTAATTGTCAGACATATACATACTAGTTTTGTCTTCCGTGTGGAGTAAGATTGTTGACATTTTGTTCATGGGTTATTAAGACAACTTTGACACTGGAAATTTGCAAGTTACCATTTTTAAGACATGTTGAAGAACTAAAAAGATTTTTACAACATGTACACCACAATCAGAAAGGCTGTCTGAGTTGTATCCTTGTGTCTCACCTCTTCCCGGACTTTCTGCAGCTGCTGCTCGTACTTGCTAACCAACTCTTGTCTACCGGTCTGGACTTCTTCTAGATGCTTGCGGAGCAATCCGATCTACGATGGAGCGATGGCAAGTTAGAAACACGAGCGGCATGCAGAGGGACGTGCAGTCAAACGGTCGGGATCATGCTGCAATACACTCGAACTGTGAGACAGACGAATCCAACTGCTACTGCACCTCCAGGTCCCTCCGTTCAATGAGATTCCTGGCAGTCAACAGCTCCTCTTCCCCACTTCTCAGCCTGAGGTCCATGGCCTGCATCTCAGCGTCCCACTCCCTCCTCTGATGGTTGACCATGATGTCAATCTGTCTCATCAGCTCCTGGAGCTCGGGCTCACACGATGAAAGGACAGAGCTGGAATACAGATACAAACTATTAAAAAAAACAATATTGTGATGTTGACCAGTCACGTTGAAATACCACATAACCAAGAGGTCGCCATCGCTCAGCACCGCTGGTTACCAGCTAGCGTGTCACCGGGTTTAGCTACAGTTTAGGTCACGTTACCTCAGGTCAGGATTCTGCAAAGACACCAAGGAGGGCTCCATTTGTTCGCAGCAGATGCTACGTTACTTAAGCTAACCTAAGCTAACAACCTCTGCAGCTTCGACAAAGCGTCAACGACAACAGCTGAGCGCGTGACTTTTAACGTTATATCGTTACATCAATCGACGAATTCGTGCTTTAAGTGGAGTAAGCTCAGCGTTACGGTTCTAACACTAGTTTCAGTACACCTGACTACTTTTGTTTACATCGCCACCTGGCTTGGCGGTAAATACAGCTATCGTTAGATCCAATGGTGTTCCTGGTTTTCAATGTGAGGCGGTAACTCCGCCTCCAATGTGTGACCTCATCACGTTTTACGTCAAAGGTTTTTGGACCCTGCAACTGATTTAACTTCAAATCCAGTTGATGTGACATTCAGCACCGTGGCCGTGTACCCGGTGTAATACAGCAAACGCGCAATATTAATACGGTTAATATGTGTCTATGTAAACAGTACAGTATTTTCACTGAAATTAAGCTTCATTCTACAATGTTCGTTTCAACAGCCTGGAGCCATGCTGTCTCTGCGATCGCCATGTTAAGATTACATGTTTTAATTATTAATTCGTAACAGCAGTATAGTGAGTCCAAAGGAATAAATTGTGTGGTATCTTCTTGCATGAACACGTGGCTCGTTGGTCTAGGGGTATGATTCTCGCTTCGGGTGCGAGAGGTCCCGGGTTCAAATCCCGGACGAGCCCATACATTTTGCGAAGCCGCACAGCGGTTAACGCTACATTCCCGTTTCTTAGCAAATCGTATTCAACGTGCTTGTTTTAAGAGACATTTTCAGGTTTTTTTCCGAGTTTTTTCAATAGCGTTTTACGATGTAAGTTTTGAACTTTATAATTAATGTCAAATAGTAGACCTAATACGTTGGAGGTTTGAGTTAAGAATGGTTTTATAATGAACAAAGAGTCTCTTGCAGTGTGGCTCGTTGGTCTAGGGGTATGATTCTCGCTTTGGGTGCGAGAGGTCCCGGGTTCAAATCCCGGACGAGCCCTCACTTTTAAAAAAATCTGTTTATCCATTATTTAACACTTAATATGAATGGATATTTATTAAAAAGTGTCATCACCGTTTTCCTCCAAGACAATTTCCCACAGCCGTTCCCCCACCTGTCCTCCTTCCCACTAAACTCAACACACTGAACAAAAGAGGACAGCTCTCTCTCTCCGCCCCCACAAACACAGCAGACACTCCCATCAGGAGGCAGACGAGCGGCTCTCCATTCACTGCAGTGCTGCTCTGCTTCTCACTCAGAAGGGACAATACTCTCAATAAGGCTCAAGGCAGCTCCGTGTCTGCCTTCACTTGTAAGGTAGGTAAGATTTACTGACTGCATTTTAAAATTGCTATTACTTTCAGCTGGGTTTTTTTCATTCAGAAATTGTGTTTAATTGCGGATACTGGTTGAGCCATTTGTATTGTTCAATTATTTTCTTTATAGCAGCACACAGTCTTGACCAAACTCAGAATGTGCTCTAAAGATATACATATAATAGAAGTCATATCAGAGAGATATCTGTAGAAATTAGAATTGGAATAAGTAAGATGTATTTTTAATTCAATTTAGCTAAAAACCCAAATCTTATTATCTTTGTGAAAAGTTGTTTTTGTATATTATTTAATAAGCATCACATATAATAACCATTCACAAAACAACTTTCCATCTAAACATTTAAACATATAGAAGCTGACTGGGAGCTGAAACAAGCCCTCATCCCATCGGTTGCTCCACAGCGGAGTTTCATCCCCATCACCCCCTCATCCCACTCCGGGCCTTGCGGTCAACCATGGTTCTGTGTGAGGATGGCGACTGCAGCGTCTGCCTCGCGGCCTTCTCGCGGACGGACAGGATCCCCCGGGTGCTCCACTGCAGACATACCTTCTGCGACCCGTGCCTGGAGACCATGGCGCAGGCCAGGAACGGCCTGCTCACCGTGGCCTGCCCTCTGTGCCGCCGGGTGACCTGCATAGGCCGCGGCCTCAGCCTTCGGGAAGCCCTGTGGGTCAACAGCAAGCTGTGGGAGCAGATACCGGAGGGCGCGCAGGAAGAGGAAGAGGAGGAGGAGGTGGAGGAGGAAGATGGACGGAAAATGAGGGCTCAGGAGGAAGGCATGGAGGCTAAACAACAGCCCTCGCTGCAGGCAGGATGGTGGGTTTGACAGTGTACACACCACTTTCAGATCTATTTATAACAACTGAAAACTGTCACCTTTGACCTCATGTTGTTTCCCATTATTTTGGCTTTCATTACAAGTTTTTTTTAACCCACAAACGCTGTTTTTTGTGAACAAAGGATTGTATCTTATTAGACCAAGCGTCGAGGAATTTGAAGAATTGGACCCTGGATCTGATAAATTCCTGTCATAACTTCCCACTCACACGTCGGTGTTAATCCGGACTTTTGTCCACAGGGCTTCTCATTAGCACCTCAGCTCGGCAGTACCCTGTTTAGTGTTGTGGGAGTACTAATCCGGTCTGACACGGGGACTTTTACTTTTCCAGTGCTTCCTCCACGTCTGCCAGAACGAAGCTGAAGCTGCCTGCTTTCTTCAGAAAGTTCAGTCTGAATAAGCAACAGCAGGAGAGGATTGTTCCCGGCAGTAATGTGTAAGTTGAGACTTTGTGGTGAATGGCAGTAACGACAAGGAGACACTAAGTGTGGGCTAATAGTTTTATTTGTTTGTCTTCTGTTTTTTGTCTTTGAAGGGAAATGAAATCCTGGCGCAGGCTTTCAACTGAAGACGCCATCTAAAAAGAGCCAGATGGAAGATGATGCGATTACGTGACCCCACTACGGGACTCGGCTCATCAGGGAGGGAAAGTGGTGACCGTTAGGACCGAGGATCCATTTGTGTTCCTGTCAAGACATTGTTTTGTCCCCGGCCAAAGGTGCCCCGTCTCCCCCATTATTTATTCTAGGCTTAATTCCCCCAGCTGGTGTAGTGGGATTTGGTTCAGCTGTCCCAGTTGCACACACACCCCCGGACCCCCCCGGATCCCCCCCCGTAACAGATGGTCTCCAGAGAACGTTCCCTTTTCTGCGATCTGCTGAACATTGAGTATAATATATTGTTCTTCTATTTATGACAGCTAGTTGACAAAGTATTTAATAAAAGTATTTTTGAGAATTCCTCTGACGGTGTTTTATGTCTTTACCAATTAATGCTCATTTTACCTTCTGGCTTTTGGGAGATGAAAGAATCGTGAGCTCAAAGCAAAGACACGACAATTCTTTATTTCACAATTGAAGGATTTATGACACGTCAGGTATTAAAGCGACTGAAACAAAATGAAGCCAGCAGGAGATTTCTGAGCGGCACAATGTGAATATTACTTTTGTGTGCTCGATACGCAACAAAGGCGGGTCACAAAAGGCTCATTCAGCCGTGAAAGGAGATTAAAAACACCATTCAACGAGCATCTGGCAAGTTTTCCACAATGGTAGACATTAAAATACTGGCTCATTACTTGCGTTCTGTTCTTTTGTCTCACCTTATGTGCAGCCAAAGGTTCAGAAACAAACAGCACGACACCATTCTGAGAGGAGGAGTGAACCCAACCCCATCCTGGGGTCACCGCTCTGCGTCTCAGAGGTCATTGTTATCGACCTGTTAGGAGACTTCCGTTAGTTGTCACGCCGGTTTGGCAGCCGGCTAGTCGTAACAGGTCGTCTGCACCGGGAGCCTGTGAACGGCTTGTTTGACGGGGTGTCATTTTTCGCTGTCGGTACCGTGGAGGTGTTCCCACGGCTGACGTCGCTATCGGCACAGCAGCAGCTTCAGTTTTGCAAGGTGTGCGTTGATCACTGGGATTTGAGGGTGGAACAGAACAGGAAAAACTCCCCGTGCGCGTTGGCAGAGACGGGACGCGTACTTCATAAATACAGTATGGAAACACTTTGTTTCTAATAAGCCTGGTTTATTCACATGTTTGATGTATAAAATATGAATCCGCAAAGTGTATTAAGTACTAGCTCCTCAAAACTACCACAGTTAAGTATCTGAATAACTGTACTGAGGGCAGGTTGTCCTCACTAATGAGTTATCGGACCAGACGCAGTAACACACGGGAGGAATTCTGGTGAGGATTCTTTGCAACAAACATGGTGCAACACAGTTTCCAAAGTACTATCCGTTACACAAAAACAATAGTACATTCCTCTTTGAGTACGTGTAAAATACCGACCGTACTAATGTGTGTTTGCAAAATCTGAAGCAGGATCAAACTGTTGGATTAGAGACATGGCATTATAACATTTGCAGACTTGCGACATGTTAGTTGTGATTTTTTGACAACATTCACTTGGACTTTATTCATTCAAACTTGGGCCGACAGCTGGTTATTAAGCAGGTTAGCAGGTTAACGGGACCCTGGCCAATACAGCAGGTAATTGCGATATTAGGATTAACGAGTCATCGACAGAAACTAGGTATGTCTCGTTGTGTCCCCATGAGAAACCATGCGCGCTACAACATGTCCAAGATGCTCAACAATGACACAATTATTGCTTCATTGCGGGTGTCGTTGCGTTTTATCTTATTCACCCCCCCCCCCTCTCATTCTGCAGAACTCAAGTCCTCCTTCATCGACACCATCTGTCAGGCTCCAAGTGTGTCCTCCATCTCCGCCGGGCCCGATCCTACGCGTGTGCGCCTCTGCGTCTGTCTGCGGCTATTCTCGCATTCTGCTGCAGCAGACTGCAAAACAACTAGCGGCTGTTGGTGTCTTCTTGGAATACCCTCATTGCCTGTTTGCCATTAGCTGCCCCAGTTAACCAGCCCCCGGCCGGTAGGAGCCACTAGTGCCTCTCTGACTCGTGTGTGGCTAACGGCTAACGGCTAACAGAGGTAGCAGTGCACACGGTTTCTTATCGAGTTCCATATTTCATTCACGTTTACATGACCACAGAATGTCAACATTTCTCAGAGATTCAAGTAGATCATTTTGCGAGTACGATTTATTAGTTTGCTCAAGGTGAAGAAAAAGACACCATCAGTGTGAAACAATAATAACAACAATAAACGGACGAGTAGAATTATGGAACGTGTGCAGTGTTGAAAGAAAAGAACTGGGCGTGACTTTGCTAGTAAGACATCTTTATTAATCATTTAAAGAGACATGCTAGATCTCTGTACAGCGTGAATGGAGAACCAGCTCTGACTGTGACGGAACAGGGAACGGCCTCCATCCTCAGGCGCTCACCCCCAACTGCCCCCCACCATATACCAAGACGTGTGTTGGTCCATTTCAAGGGAATGCTCAAATGGGACCCTACTTTAATAAGTAGGGGGAGTAAATACAAATTAACGTCTACAGCAACTGATTCATCATTGGTCCTCATTCGAGAACAAACACCCATGGAGTCATTTCTCAAACAGTGCTCTCCTTACAAGGCTGTGTGGTGGGTGATGAGAGCGGTACATTCCTGTTTGGGGAATAGGCAGCAACACAGGGGGTTGATAGGTTATTACCTATTTTTTCAGTTGGGGGGGATTATAACTTAAAATGCAACCTGTCTTTGCCCCTCCAGTACTCACAAGGGGGGGGGGGGCTTTCCGGCTAATGTCTCCCTTTGAGTTTCCATCTGACTCCGTCTCTTAGTAGTATTATTTGGCTCATTACGTGGGTTAGAAAGGCTCTCGGCTGCTCCCCTTCTTGGACACGTGTGAACAATCCATAAACATTCAAGTCTACTCTAAGACACGGCACTCCAAGTGTTCTGGAGATGAAGGTTTTTTTTTAATATCATGTTTTCGAAGACTTACATTGTCACTCTAGAATTCTAAAACATAGTGTTCAAAAAGTGCATTAAGATTTTTCACTTAAGAGCCGAGTCAAATCAAAGTAGTGTTCACAGCACTGGCTTCAGCCCCAGTGTATGTTACGATACCTGGCTCCAAGGAACAACGATTCAGAAAAACAACATTGCATAACGCCAACATCACTAGTAAGTTCAAACACAAGCAGCAGAGAGAACCTCCCCTCGGTGGGGGACACGTCACAAGACGACCACACGGGTCTTCAGTTAGGTGACACACACTCGTCATAACTCCATGTTAACCTGAAGAGGGCTACAAGTGCAGACTCGCCTCCCGTCGGGACTGGAACCGTTTTAAAATGTTAGCAGCTTGTGTTGATTGCAGAACCAGCGGTGGAGCCTCCTGGTGGCCCCGCTCCTCGGTGACACCCGGCGAGGGCTTTGGTTCTCCGTGGCTCACGGACAGCGTGTGTGCAGCAGACTACAGTGATCACGACCACCAAGACATCACACAACGCCACAGCAGATGTCGTGGTGTTTCGGGGTCCCGGGGGGCGGGAGGGGAGGGGGGGGGGGTCTATGACAAAGGTGACCTACGTGGTGCCCTAATGTGCCGAGAATGTAACAACTCAGCAGTGGCCCACGATGTGACTGCATTCTAACGTTGCCTACACAGGAAAGCACACATTTACACACACACACGCGCACAACAAAGAGATATTCTGAAGTCACGTGTACAAATTCAGTTCTCATAAACAAAAAGACATTATCAGAGTGCAGTAAGTCACTGGTGTTATGTTACTGTTTACAGATGTGTGTACACTGGCAGACAGTACCTATGCTCAAAAGGTAGGCATGCATTAGATACTCAAGATGTTGCAGTTCGGTTGCTGTTAATGGTCAGGAACACAAAGTTATGGATCCCACAAGGGTTATTGGACAGAGAGCTGTGATTGGCTCTCCAAATCGGAGTCCCGCCCCTTCCAGTGGGCTGCCATGGGGCCATACGCAAGGTGAAAAACGAGCGACAAATCTAAAAATGTCAGTTTAAAAGAACATTTTACAGATGTTTACAGAAGTTGCGTTAGTGACGTCTGAAGCGGTGTGTTTTGTACCAGGAAGGATTCACACAAACGACGGGTCTCACTCATTCTTTCCCTTCCCAGCAAACAATAAAAACAATAAGTAAGATACATTTATATCCTTGCTAGAATACAGCCATGTTAGTTAAATAGCAGGCGAAAGTATTGCCCTCTTGTTGTGGGAGACCAGAGATGTGTTTTACCAAAAACTACATGGTACCACAACATCTTGATGCTGAAAATTATTTTTCAAATAGACCAACATCACGATTCACTTCCAACGGGAACCACTGAGCGACATCGCAAAGGGCCACCTGCCTCTCTGTGGCCTTCACGCAGGCCCCCACATGGTGGCGGCCGGGCCGCTGAGTGGCAGCTAACCGTGCTAACGTTGCTAACCGCCGGCGGTTCATGCTCACCGGGACTCGCATGCACTTAACGCTCAGGTAGCAACCCCAGGTTTATTAACTGGGCTCAGGGCAGCGCATATGTGTAACACACTGACTTTGTTCTATCTTCACATGGACAATATTCGTCTGTTGCTGTATTGGTCTTCTGATTGTTACTTTGAACCCTTAAGGTTGAAACTGGTTCTGTCCTGGTAATGTGCCTTGGGGAGGTTACAGGCTACGTCACCCTAACCCGACACAAACATTTGGATCACTTCTGTTGATTTAGATGCTTTGCGTGGCTAACCGCTAACGGCGAACAGAGCTACCGGTACACGCACAGTGGTGTACCGTCTCGCCGACCTTTGTTCATCCTTAACCGAAGCGGGATCCATAAAAATATGTCTTGAACCATCTGTTCTTATCAAGCCCTCCATTACAGAGTTGAGTTGTTTGAATATTAAAAAAAAAAATTTACCAGAGAGATCTCCCTGAATATACAAAAATATAAAAAAAGTATCTACATACGTAACTTGGAATTCTTCTTTGTTTTTATTTTCTGTCTCTGTTTTTTTTTTTTTTTTTTAGCTTTTTGCAGGTTGTAGGACTTTTTTGGCAGTTTCATTAACAAATTAGGCTACACTACTAGTAGGACTGCTAGTTCCAACCGATGGACCGAATAGTCAGGAGAGGAGGCCAGATTCTCAACGTGCAAAGTAAACCAATAGGAAGCAACATAACAAGCATGTGGTGAGGATGACGTTTTGTTTTTATGTTGAGTATTAACAGGAACAGCCGCCTTCAGTGTTCTGGGGCTCCTGCTGCTTGGCCATATTGATGTCGATCACTGGAGAAAACGTTAAGGAAGCTTGGGGAACATTTGCTATTAGATCAGACACATCATGCACATCAATTAGAATATTTTCAAAGAGGGAAAGCCGACGTAATTGTTCAATACATGTGCGACTTTACTACCACTAGATGGAGCTACTTCCCAATGAATTCTTTAGTCCAGACACCAACCATGCTGAGCCAGTCTACGGCTTGCACATTCAGCTCGGCAGGAAACCCTCTTTTTGTTGGTAATAATGAGAGTAGATGGCGTTGGCACCGCTGTGCTACAATCAAGGCGGATGCACCATTGTGTGTTAATGAGTTGCTGTAAGTCAAAATGATTCTGCAGTGGTTTTTGACACAATTCCGGTTTTATTTCCAGGCATTGCTCCAGAGCGTTTGTATTTTTCCACATTTTGCAGTGGGAACAAGGTGCAGACCTGCTCTGTTTTAAAGGAGACAAAAGGTGTATCAGGCTTCCATCATACCACAGCTGGAGAGAGTGTGGCAGCGCAGCACCTTTATTATTGACTTTTTCAAATTCATGTATGCATAAGGAGGGGGGTTGCATACACCGTGGCCTATATATTGTATGCAAGGGAGTGTGAAGCAGTCCCACTGGGGCTTTCAAATGCCCACCCTGCAGTGCCTGGTGCTGTTAAATGCAGCGGGTTGATGTGAGTGTTCTCATACATTAAGGAAGCATTTCATCACAGCATGATGACATTTGAAGGGCAGTCTTTAAAGAAAAGGGTGCACTTGAGCACTCCCATTTGGATTGGCTCCCACTGCCTTACCGAAGCAAATGAGCTGACTGAGTCGCGCAGTCCTCCGATACCTGTCGCTTTACTTTTGTCTCTGTTCAGGATGTTAACAGCTTGTGATGCCTTCAAATCAATAGATGAGTGGCTTGCCGGTGTGAAAGACATCTACAGAACATCGCCTGTTCCAAATGGCAGCCAGCGGAAACCTCAAAGCGCCGTGATTGAATTTGGCAGCACAACCAAGCTGTACACACACGTTTGAAGCTGAGGAAAAGTTGCTTCTCCCGATTCTGTGAAGGGAAATATCTGCCTTGATTTTCGGCTAAATGCTCCTCTCTGTTCCCCAGTTTACAGTCACTTTTTGTTTTTTTATTTTAGCGCTGAGGGGAACTACACAATGAGGTGCTAATTCTCAGTTCTTCTCTACAAGTGACCTCTTTTACATTACTCAGGGTCCTTTGGTCCATTTTCTAAATACAAATATAAAGGATCAGCTTTTAAGATAATATCTTTAAGAACTGGAAGAGAAAGCCGTGGATGGAGCACTGGGCTTCATCAATAAGCGGCAGCACAGCAATCGCTGCTCACCTGACACACGTTTATTTGAGGCACATTTGGATGATGTCTCCCTTACGGGGAGAAGCTACATTATTCTCTGTTGTGGCCCTATTCTATGATTCATATCACAACTGATTCAATGTTCTTCACAAAACAACCCTGAATAATAAACTAAATACTGAATTGCACTGAATCACGGAGCGGCTGGAGGCTGAGAGCCCGCCGCGATTCATTTAGCTCCCTGGCTCGCTCTCATTAACGTGGATGAGCACAGCACTTGATCTGGGTCACGCAGCCTCTCCACGGGGGCCGTGACACCCGGTGAACCTGCAGGAAATTGGTCTCAGACCGAGAGCAGAAGACTTTGCCCCGGAGGCCTCGACATCCACCATAAATCAGAGGGACACAAACTGGCAATTTAAAGGAACACAAAGTACAATGGGTTTACTTTCTAAAAATCTCTGCCTTGGGGGGAGAGAAAACGTTCACTTTTCTTGTATCTAAGTGGTCCATTAAATCATTGCTCTACCAGGCATGTTTTATCAAATTAATTAAAAAGAAACTCGATGAACGGTTCACGTCGGACAGACTGACAGACAAGCCCTCTGAGCCAATAGGATTCAGCGACTACGACCTCGGCCTTCACAAATCTATTCAAATATCAAAAAAGGAATTGCAACGAAATAGTACCACTGCCAGAATGAATAGTTCTGATGCATTACATATGATTTTGCATTTCCGTGCCTTAATGTGGAGAAACATGTAAATATCCAGTGCACAATGCTTCCATTGACGGGTGATAAAACAGCCACAGGCTATATACCGTGCATGTCATGCATCACGGGCCAAGCTCATTTCTGCACTCCTCCCAGTTATATCAATACTATTCACAATGCAATAACAACTACGGAGCTGCTCCATTAACTGACAGTGACAGCAGAGGCACAGAGCTGCTGAGGAACTGTGACCACCTGCCATCCATCAGCATACCTCCACCGCACACAACCCCCCCACTTCCATTATGCCTCATTAGAGGCCGGGATTACACAAAGAAGAAAAAGGAAGAGAGATAAAGGTAATTGCCTGGATGTGAGTGAGTGAAGCATTACAGCCAGGAAATATGTTTGACTGCAATAAAAAAAAAAAAAAAGCACAGGGGCCGTCTACACAGTTCACAGGGCTGTTAGGTCACTGGGTTTATCCAGGCCGTGCAGTTTGCAAAGGATGGACGACTCCCAGTAACTGATGAGTGGGCGATAATCAGAGAGAAGTGTAGGTCGTCCTTCTCTGCACCAAGGTCAGCATCTATTTCTGTTAAGAGTTGGCGCAGATGAGTCTCCAGGCTACACAGAACGAGTAATGACAACGCCATATGCACCTCGCACAAAAAAGGCAATTTCATAATTCCCCACGGTTACCATAGAGACGGCACCTCACTGTGCGTTGATGAGGTGAAACGGCACACACTGATTTACTGTATGGAGTGTCTACAGGCGATGTTTCAGCTGCTTTAGGGGACGCTGGCGCTGGAACGTCCAGTTTTACCTTCCAAAGTACTGCGTCCTGCAACAAGCTAACTCGCTGGGCCGACAGCGACATTATTCTTCCTTCTGCAACCACTACGTTCTGCATTCGTCTTTTATTTAAAGGACAGAACTGTATGTAAACACATAGGGAGCTGTGTGCCGGGGGCGAGGCTGACCTGCAGTAGTGATTCACAGCGTGCGCTGAGTGGGACGATCGGCCTTCCTCTGGATGTGTGGGAGGGTTTAGCTTTTGTTCCAGCCATACAGGTTATTGTAAAAGGCTTGCCATTAATAGCAATCTATGTATTAAATAATACCCAATATTTTATTTGTTCGGTACTGACAGAGATCGATCGAGGTGATTGATTTGGGAACCGCTGCTGAGGGCGTGTGACGGTTCAGACACGATGACTCGTGTCCGTAACTAGATTTAGTCTTAGTAGTCACAACGCGTCCCTCCCTGATCAGTCACGGAGGAAAACAAACATCAGGTCAGGTCATCAGATTATCGATCACCTACCAGGTTGATTCAACACGGATGATAGATCAGACGATGGAATCCAGCGGCGCGTCCGGGCGAGATACCAGCCCGACGGAGCGGCTGTTTGAAGTCACGGTTTTGCTGCTTGGATTAGATTAACCGACCCCCCCGCCCCCCGGCAGAGCTACGACTGTGACAACCGACAACAACAAAGCCGAGAAGAAACAGGTCAACCAAATAGTTTTAAATGCTGGGATTGCAGTTCCAAAGGTTTTTCTTTGAGACTCATCAAAGTGGTGTGCAGATGAGTAGCGTAAAGTGAAGGCAGCTTGATTGTAACCCACGTCTGATATATTTACGGATGTGAGAATGATTGCGGCAGAGGAGCCAACACAGCTTGACGGCCCTCTTTAGTCGCTGATTAAAATGATCTGTCTGAGCTGCTGTTTTCAGCTCCTTCGACATCACATGTGAACAAGTGTGTCTCTTGAGTCAATTCGCTCCTCAATGTAATCAAAACAAATAAATCTCACAAGAGTGAATAAAAATCCGAGATGCTCACAATGACAGTGTGTCAAACGCTGCTTCCTGAAGAAGAAATGTTAGAGTTGAGTGAAAATCTTCCAGGTGGAGCTGAGATGACAGCAGCAGATTTGAGGTGCCAGTCAGCACAGCGGTCCGCAGTCGGACACCGAGGCGTCTCCATTTAATTGGGTGCCGATGCTATCACATGAAGATCTAATCTTCTTATTAACACAGGTGTCATTGTGATGTGTAAATGGTTCTAAGGATACTCCCTTCTTTGCTTGTTTCTTGCATACTTTCCATTCCCGGAAGAGCGGCGGCCACACGCCGGAACAGCTGGAAGGACAGAGACAGAATGAATGCAAGATAACTGCGTACATTCAAATCAAACATTTACCAGCTGTAGGTTCGGGAGGGTTTTGGAGGAATGGCTTGTGTCACTGTCTTTAATCAAGCCGCGCGCATTTGAACCAAACTGGCATGAGCACCTTTTCCTTTGTTGTTCCGGGTATTTCGATCGCTACCTTCTGTCTTTGCAAAGGAATTGAAATCGTCAATCGTCTCAATTTTGGGTAAACACAACAATGCGAGTCATACATGATGATTTGACACATCATCCAGTCGATTTGTAGTCTTCTTGCATCAGTTCTCCTGAATGATGGTGAAATTGATGCTCATCTCAGTGGAAAGTGCTGACACAGGCAAACGGCCTCCCCAGGAGGCCCTGTGACCTTTGCACGCCACCGGGTTCCATCCTGGCATCTGTGCCCCGACGCGAGGGGAAGAATGGCCTCCTGTGTGTGTCGCCCGCCAGTAACACCATTCACCGACAGACACTATACAGCTCGCCTTCCTCCCGCTTCTTATTGACTCGACAGAGGCTCATTGTTTTCCTCCACAAACATCTGCTCTGAGACGCAGAGCGCTGGTGTGGAACCGGGCTACGTTTGCCTTTGTATCTGGAACACACTATTTTCTCTAAAAGTTAGATTCATAAATCAAAACTCACTACAAACAATGAACACAACTTGCAATAGGAGCTGTTTTGGAGAGCGGGTCCCTGTTTACGCCTTCACACAGGGAAGCACACGCAGGAGCACGTTCAAGTGAACGGCGTAGCGTCGGGTTGAAAACCTCCGGACATTCTCGGAGGCAGCGGGCTGTGCTCTGAACGTACCTGCTTGACGTTGTAACCCGTCTTGGCGCTGGTCTCTATGAACATGACGCTCAGCTCTTTGGCCCTCTGTTCGCCTTCCTCAATTGTGATTTGCCTGTGAAAGGGAAGGCCGGTCATCAGAACGTTGCAGATTATTGCATCGCAGAACAATAGCAACCGGTTTTGAGTCGGCGGGCACAAAGCAGACGATGGACAAAGACTCGCAGTCAAGCCTTCGGTCTGCAGCTGAAGCACCTGTTGCTCCAGAAGATACACCGGACTTAATCAGCTAATGACTGAGAATGATTCATTACATTGTCCTGCGAGACATTCATAGCAGCCAATTTGCATCGTGTTTAATAAATCTGTCCCTGTGTCCGTCTCTCGTGTGTCAGGTGTCCATTAATGCAAACGGAGGAGACGTTTCTGCAGCGTGGAGAGAAAACTGGAGATGTTTTTTTTACATGATAAACACAAACTGAGAGAGCTGCACCAATGCTGCTCTGGCTATTCCCGAACACACTCGTCTTGAGTGTCCAATTTATGCAGCACTGAGGCTTCTTTGTCATCAGAAAATGGCACAATGGGCGGGAAATCGCAGCAGCATCGATGCTGAGAGCAGCTCTCCCTTTAGCCGCCGGTGATCGCGTCTCTTCAAAAGGTAAACGTAAAGAAGAGAGCGGCCATTACTTCCCACGGCCATCATGAACTCCAGCATGACAAAGTGAACAAGATCTGTTTAATCTTCTTTCTCCTGGATGGCAATTTTAAATAGACTGATTCTTCACTCAGAGCTGCTTTCCTTTAGCTCCAGAGCCGTGTCGCTGAGTGAATTCAAACGCTCAGCACATCAGCCCCACTTGGTTGATGCTGCCGGGTGTGCGATGCATACTTGGATTCTCTTATCTTACTCCCTAAGGTACTTACCATTCGGGAATGAACAAACCAACCAAACAAAGAAAGAAGGGCTTCTCTCCAGCGACTGATAACCACATCACACCAGACGACAGCGACAGAAAACCCTCAAATCTCTGCTCCACATCCACTGTGAGACAATGTAACTAAACTCAGTCCGGCAACACGCAGCTACACAGAAATGGGTCCAGAGAGAAAGCCGCTCCCTCCCTGCCGGACTCGTATCTCTCCTCCACAATGACGTGTTCCAACTCACTTTTCACCGTCAGCCACATTATTTCAGATGCTGAGTCACGTCGCCCGACACACGATGCACACACACGATGCACACACACGATGCACACACACGATGCACACACACGATGCACACACACGATGCACACACACGATGCACACACACGATGCACACACACGATGCGCACACAGAAACCCGTCCGGCTCATAAGCACAGAGACAAGGCTGATTTACCTCCAGGAAGGAGCAGATTAAGAGATGGTGTCAGCGCAGTAAATAGCCCTCACCTCTTTGCTGCGGAACATTTAGTGGAATTCGAACTCCCAGACTCAAACTTAAAGGCCGTTAACATTAACAACCTGTACGTTAAAGTGAAGCGGATCAGTGGTTTTCACTTCACTCCGAGGCAAAAATGTATTAATATGATTTAATGCCACATATTCTGCGGATTGATATTACAGCTCAAGTATTCTTCATCTGATGGAAACCCATTGGGGTTTATTAAAATATAATAATACAATTCAAAGCTCCATTAGCATTATACGTTTACACTTGTAAGTTAAATATGTATGTATATGTATTTACACATTCAAGCCGTTCAATTAGATTAGCTGTTTGTGATTTTTAAGGGCTATGAATTGAATATTGTCCACCATACAGCCTGTGTCCCGTTACCTGTTAAATGTCAAACAGCTTTTACAGCTTATACTAAATACTACACTCTTTACCACATCGTGGAACAGATACCCGTAGCATCCCGATCTCGATCTCAGAAGCTCCTGCCTTTGCTCTGTTGTCATGGCAGCCATGGTCTTTTATTGACAGATCCAGCGAGATGCATCCTGGAAACTGTCATCCCCAGCAATTGTTTCCATGCATGCCCTTGAGTCCCTGACAAGTTCTTTCTGAGACACTAGAAAGCCAAAGGCCGCTCCTTTCTGCCGCTGCTCAAGAGGCTGGAGATGTTACTCTACATAACGCTGACTAGAACAATTCCATTATATGATTTATGCATGGTTATTGACCACAGCAGGACACATCATGTGGGATACTTCTCCCCTGTAACAGAGCCAGAGAACAGGATGTAATGATTCTCTGCTAAAGGATGAAACCAAATGACTTTACATCCACTCTTGTTATAGAATGAGCCCGAGATCAGTCCAGCACAACAGAAAGTAGACGGTCAGCTGTTTTGACCACTAACGGTACTCTTGATGTACGTCGTGAAGTAACCTGTGTGCGCTAACATATGCGTGCATATTTTTTCTGAGATACACAACTCAGAACATATGTAAGTTATTATGATAGGAGAAGTGTAAAGTTCACAGGAAAGTCAAATAAAAGGTATAGTTACAAAGACAGGACCAAAGTCTACAGCTTTGCTATCAGCTCTGTGAGGGTGGGCTTAAGGAGCGTTAAAGGAGGAGAGACACCAGCTGTACCTTTGGGGTACGACACGTGCACAGTGAAGTAGAACATGGGGATGATCGATTTGTTTCACTAAAGCAGCGATTCAGCCAGCGCGAAGGTACTGCAGGTGGGGCGCGAGAGGTCATTTACAATAAATAAATACATTTTTAAAAGTTTGAAATTAATATAAAATTATTTATGATGCGGCACATTAGTTATGTGAAACATTAGTTGATGAAGCACAAACAATTTAAACGAACAGATTAATAAAACAATAAGGCTCTTGCTCGAAACGGCTGCTCTTGTCCGCCTGTCGTTGTTCAACAAACGTAGTATTAAAGTAAATATACCGCATTTTCCGCACTCCAAGGCGCACTTAAAAGGCTTTAATTTTCTCAAAAAACGACAGTGCCTTATAATCCGGAGCGCCTTATATATATGGATCAATTGGTTAATCGGTTGATCCATACTGGTTGTACACGTGATTAAAGGTTCGGGTGGGCCGCGAAAGATTTTCAGATTTCAAATTGGGCCGCGGCATCCTTGAGTTTGGGAACCGCTGCAATAAAACATTTGCGGGGAGGTTTTTTTTCATCTCACACTGCCTTTTTTGAGGGTTCTCTCTTGTAATAAAGATGATGCATCACAAGCGACTTCATGTTAAATAATTATCTCACAGAATCAATAACAAGTGTTTAAATGCAACACATTCTGCTGATCAACACGGGAAAAAACTATGGTGATAAAGTTGTTGCGCTTACTTTCTACATTTCTCAAAGGATGTCGGGATTAGGACTTTTAAATGAAAACAGAAAAGAACATTGCAGCAACATTGGAACTAAAGACATTTTACAGATGACTTTACATCAGTTTTCTGTATGGAGCAGATAAGCCACCATTAATGCATTTTGGCACAAGCATGGTTCAATTTTCCTTATGGAAATATGGATATTTCTGCTTTGTGTCATCTCATCTTTCAAATGTATGCATCTCTCAGCTATATTAAACATCCCTTCCACTATAGTCATATAAATTATGTATGTATAGACCCGTCATGATTCCTTGAGTGTCACTAGGGGCTGAATAACGGAGTTAAGTTTTCTCCTTTCAAAGCAATAAGAGCAGCTGAGCGTCCTAATGTTCCACCACAATTACTATGGCAACTCCGTAGTGCATTCATTTAGATATGCCATATATAATGAGGCAATGTTTCATTTCCCATACCTGTCTTTATATGAGACTGAGGTATTTTAAATGGAGGAGTTATTCTGGTGTGAAGATAATCAGTTGTGTTTCATTAGCATACAGATTTGATGAGACGCTCCGACGTCTCATCATGTCATGTGCTGCACTCTGCGGAGACTCGGCCCGACTCTTTTGTCCTGCTTTGTTCTCGCCGTGTTCCACTGAATGTTCTCGACGGCTGACAGACGGACTGACACTTTGCACATCACAGTTGCCATGGCGTCAAGACATGAAAGGGTTGCTGCCTATAAAGCAAAAAAGCTGCCAGGAGGCGGGTTTGGTGTGTAACACACAGTACACACCTCTTATCTGCCAGGTCTGTTTTGTTGCCTACGAGCATGATGATGACATCACTTCCCCGCTCTGTTCTCACGTCCTCGATCCATTTGGACGTCTGCTGGAAGGAATTCACATCTGTGGAGGAGCAAAGACGAAGCGGAGTCAAATTAAAGATGTGGTTTGTGCGACTGCAGAGGCATTCAACGTCTCCTGCTGCTACTGCTCAGAATACACCTATTTACCTTCCGTCCAGCTTTTTAAGCGCGGACATGCTGGATGTTTTTATAACAGCTGCGGATAAAAAATGTATGCAACATTTTGCTGATACTTAAATATTCGAATCCCGATGTTTAGACATTAGTTGATAGATGATACTGGACAATACAAACCAGAAGGGGGAAGGTAACCCGTATTACTTTATGAAATCAGGCGTACAATGTACCTCCTGAGGGCAGTTGTATTAAATAAGTGTTACTGAAATAAAGAAATAGATGTCACTGGTCCGTCATGGAAAATTATCATAATAACTCACACTACTGGATATTTCATGGTTTTACCTCCATAGATGAGCAAAGACCAACTTCTAAAAATTACACCTGAATACCTCGGTTTCTTTTCCCGACAGCAGTTATGCTGAATACATTAGCTTGTGATATATTAAGGATAAACGGTGCATGCAACATGTGTAGAGGGTGCCATCACCAAAACATAAAGGTCTCCCTTTGAGTTTCTCCAAGAAGGACACACAACAAAGCAAAGGGTCTTTGGAGTGGCAACCTCAAAGATTTTCATTTATAAATGTTGATTCACCGTCTATCACCTAACTAGGTAACACAAAGGTGATTGAGCCTGTGCCCAACCAATCAAAGTATGTTTTGCAGTATTAAGACCCGGGTATCTATGGTAACGTTCCAGACAACGATGCTGTGCTCAGTTACTGACACCTTCACAATAAAAGCACTCCACTGGCGAAAGTTCACTCTTATTACGGAGTCACAGGAAATGAGTGTGTGAGCCTGACGCCATCCTCTATCGTGACACCAGAAAATAATCTACAAAACAAGACTGCGGCCATTTTCTGCTTCCAGCCTTAAAACACAGCAGGGAGCGATGGAACATGAAGGAGCAGCCACAGAGCTGATATCACACCTCACACTTCTCAGCGCGGTAACCAACTAATGTCGTTCTCGCTGTTGGCAGAGCATGAAATTATTTGTTATTTAAAACAAGGATTGTTTGTTCTGCAGCCCCCAGTGTTGTTGGACTTGTATTATTTAACTGCACTTTTACCACCAAATCAACAAAGACTGAGACCTTAAGGATTTTCACAATAAGAGAATTTGAGAAGGAAGAAGCAATACGTTTCATCTCAACATGGAGTGTATAACGTAAGCATGATTGCAGGTATAACACAAAAATGATTTTGGCATATATATTATATATATATTCAAACACGGGACACTGACTTGTGATGTCGTAGACCACCACGGCCACAGTGGAGTCCCGTATGTAGCTGGGGATGAGGCTCCTGAAGCGCTCCTGGCCCGCTGTGTCCCACAGCTGCAACCTCACCTGGGGTTCAGACAGAGACAGCTGAGGAGACTGAGATTATTCAGATAATCAAGAGAGCCCAGAAACACCTTGGCTCCCTCCACACACACACACACGTAAACAAAAGCACCCAACACGATATTGGCCTGAATCCACACTCATTATTTGTACGAGTGGACTCCTGGAGGTGAAACAGCCAAGGTCCTACTGCTGCACGAAACGATTCCTCGAGGTAAACAGACATGCAGAGACATCGCATTCATCTACATATCACAAAGACAGAGGACTCGCTGTTCATCAGGGAGCTCATGCATTATTTCAGAAACAAGCAGAAAGAAAGCTGCGGACGCGTTACATGTCGGACGTCTCGTACAGATGTAACTGAGGCTTCTTACCGTTCGATCTTCCAGGTACATGGTTTTCGACAGGAAGTCAATTCCAATTGTGGCCTAGTTTAGGAAAAGAAGATATCGCAGGGTCAGCGTGTATGTAAATCCCCCCGAAAACAAAGAACACAGGCAGGAGGAGGACTGAAAGATCCACGGTTCATAAGCGTATTATCCCAAAACATCGCCTCGCGTCGGGCTGTATGAGCACCTGTAAACTAATGCAGCCCAACACTACAGAAAACTGCTAAAACATGGAAGCAGTTCGATCGACGCTAAGGCAGTCCGTCTGTATTGTAGGCCAACTGGTCACCCGAAGAGCTTTATGGGTAACGCAGGGGCTCCCATGTTGTCAGATCTTCAAACAAAAGGTGAGTCAGAGTTATGCTTTTTATGCCATCTCATGAATTAAATTAAATTAGTTGATGATATAACAACCCACTTTTAAACCAATGGCTAATCACAGGAGGCCTTTTTTCAATAATTGGGGGTAGATCCAATTTGTGCGTAAATTGACATTACTGACCGGCTGCCTCACCTTGTATGACTTTGAATAGATGAAGTCGCCATCAGGAACAAGTAAATCACACATTTTGTTGTATGCATGTGGTATTTGAAATCTATAGATTAAACATTTAAGTCATGTATACATAAATGACATGGATTTTGATAGAGGAAACATGTTTTCAATTCATTGTTATGAGTAAGCTAGAATAATCAGAGGCTCCGTCTGCAGCTACTATGGAAGAAATTCCGCAAATACTTTTTTCCAACACAATTATAATGCCCTGCAGCCCGGTGTTTGGTAACGACTCCCGTGCAAACATTCCACTTCAATACTCAGAATGTTTCATACTCAAATAAGCAGCTTCTGTGCTCCCACATCACCCATTGCTAACGGCAATGATAACCCTCGCTGTGGCCTGGGGCAGATGGCGACGCGTGTTCCCTCTTCAAGGGATGTTTACTTTCCACGGCTCTCTGCCGTGATACCACAGGCAGCTCCGTCATGTACAAACCCAAACTCTAGAACTTCAGTGCCTCACCGCAGATATCGTTTGGGGTTTTTTTAAATGCCAGAACCGCTTTAGTATTCCTTACAACAAAAGCGAGACAAGAAATGCCACCTAATGACAGCTGGTGAAGGCAGATTTCATGTAGTGCGTCCAGATGTTCGATGCGTGTAGAGGATGGACCCTGGATTAAGCAGCAGGCTCCAGCTGCCAGTGTGACCTGGCCAGCTGGAGCCCGTATTTCAGCTAGTAATGGTCAACTTTATTTATTTATGCTAAGATACGTTTGCACCCGGCTGTGGTTAAGCAGGTGGGAGGGAACGGTACCGCCCACTCTGACCGAATTGGGCATCAACAGCTTGATCACGTGACGGTTACCCTGGCGATGCCAGTGGTCTAACTCAGAGAGTCTGGCTTGAAGACACAACGTCATTTATACTTCTCCCTTAATCAGTCACGCGAGGCTGGAAATAAAACGCCTCAAGGAATTAAGATTAAGGGAGAAAAAAACCCTACTTGTTGGGTTGAATCAGCCCCAAAATAGACTAAATTGCCTTTTTCCTTTTGGCAGAATTAGCTTGAAAAGTAACTTTCATAACCACCATAACTTGCCCATTAAAATACGTTTGAAATTAAAATATTAAAAATTCATGAGGAAATGTTCTAAATAGCTTTTTTAGATTCAACTTTATTGACAATAGCACAGAGATGTGGCAGGAGTTTTTCCTGGGGAATGGCAGAGGTGCTGAAGGCTCTTTATGGTCACATTTTTAAATATAGAATCGGTTACACATGAACGCCTTGATTCCCCAGTAATGATTAATATTCCCTATAAATCTTTAACTACCGCACATTGTTGGAGGACAAGCCGTGGCTCTCCAGCTCATTCTGCCAGCACAGATGTTTTAAATGTGAAATATATACGTGGCCTTAAGATATTGGACTTAAGGAAAAAGGTTTTACACGAGTGAAATCATCATTATATGACTTGATTTTAAAAGTTCGCATCAAAAGAGAACTATAACCTGCTCAGTCGTACGATAGAACGCAAGAGGACCAATCCCACTGTTACTTATCAAAGCAATCCTAATATATATATATGTGTGTATATATAAATATATATATATATATATATATATATATATATATATAAAATATATAATATATATAATAATAATAATAATAAATATATATGCAGTAGATGTAACCCTCCTGCAGACACATCAGGTAGTGGTCTACTAGTGGCAGAGTAGGTGACACAGTGACTCAGCTGGTTCTCTGAGCAGATGGAAATCACAGTAACCTGAGACATTTCCTGACAAACACCACACCGCTCAACCAGATGGAGTTGTAGGCACCGGAAACATTACTGGAAGCAGGAGCACCGAACAGAGAAATCCATACTGCCCTTTTGATTTGGCCGTTGCATTGTCGGTGCGCTAACATCTACATTCAGACAGAGATCGCAGCTCATAATTTCGGTGGATTCTGGGAGGAAGAGGGATTGATGGGTTTCTGCATGAGCACTGCCACAGGGAGGCGACGGGATGTTTGGCGCTAAAGAATTGTACGAAACCCCATCTTTTCAGGCTTCTAGTATGTTTGTGTTTGTGTACTTATAGAAATGCAGCCGTCAAAAAAGGTGTATAACAAATAGAGGATTTGAACTTGGAATATTTGGGCGTCTTTTTTTCTAGTTATGCCCTTTTTGCTTTCATTCCAGTAGATAATCTGAACACTTCTTCCCACACTGCCGCTCCCAGCAGGAACTTTCAAGGTCCTCCATCTGGCAGCGACTCTGCCAGGCCAGCAGACCTCGAGTCACAGCCGGCATGCTGGCGATTTGCTCACAGCGCCGTGTTGCACTTATGATCATCTCCTCAGACAGCAGGCTGATAATACATTGCAAATACAGGTTGACACATTAGCAACCACAATAAAGTGAGTTGTGAATGTGCAAATTAATAATTAGTCCATCGAACTCATTTTAGAGAGAGAGAGAGAGTTTGGCATTTCTTGGTCAATAACTAACTTACACAATTAATCAATTATCCATATAGCTGAAAATGAATTATTGGTGCAGTCCCACGGAGAATATAAATGATACTCCATCTCAAATATTACATCTTATATAATCCTCTTTTTGGGGAAGGATCTTTCCTGAACAAGAGACTAATTGCTTGCTTATGTAATCACACCCAGATGACGTTTTGTCCCAGCTGGTGTTGGTCTAAAAACCCAAACATGTTCAATTTACCACCACAGAAGACAATGGAAAAGAGCAAACCATTTCAATGGAGAAGCAGATAGTGAAACTGACGACAGCAATTATGCTTTACATCTTTACAGTTTTATACCGTTTACTCAAATGAGATTACACATATTTAAAATATTCTGCAATAACAAATGGTTTGCAAGCTAAAACATTTTTGAACTGAAATGAAAGACTGAACTGAACAGCACGTTAACAAGTCCTCATTTCCTAATTCTACGTTTCTTTTTAGTCCGCCAATAAATCAGACTCGCCAGTCGCTGACTAAATATCTGAGTGTTTGGGTGGAGCAGACGGATGCAGTCACAGCCTGGTGGCCGGGCCTGACTGACAGCTCCACCACTGAGCCTCTGGAGGGCTCCGAGCCCTTTAGCATGTGCCGCCAGGCGGTGAGGACGCCTGCCGGTGTCTCTCTCGGCTGGGCGGCTGCTTGATGGGAGTCCGCTGCTTTAAATGGCAGCGAACGTGGCTCCTGCTGCTGACTGAAGCCGCTATAATTGCTCGGCTTCATCTCCCTAAACACGCCGGTACTACCATCAAACCGGCTGGATGGGATGTGCTCGGATCCAAGAGCTCCACCTGCGTGAAGTCATTTGGTCTGCAGGCCCCCGGTGGCGGAGACTCTCCACCCTCGGCAAGGCAAATGTAGCCGTACATCCGAGTTTAACTGATACTCAAAGGTCTCTGTAGTCTGGAAAAAAAGAAACCTAAAGAATCCTGTCTAATCCGGGGAAGAGAAGTGGAATTATGACGGGGGGAGGCAAGCTGCTGCTGGTTTTGGGGCGAAGGCGTCGGGGCCAGTGCATGAGGCCCAGACTTGCCTAAACAGCATACGGGCACATTATTCGATCAGCAGATGCTATCGGCCGGGCGTCTGTCCGCCGGCCCTTCTGCTGCCCCACTTAAAACGGCGTTGATTTCAAACAGCTGATTCATCGACCTGCACTGAGGTTCACTCATTCGCTCCATGAAGTGGTGCTTACAAGTGTGCAGTGCTCTGGAAAGGACGCGTGAAATGATCCGCTCACGTTTATGTCACATGCATCGCAGGCCTCAAACATTATTCTCGCCGCGATCACAACACATCAAATCTGCCCCCCTAAAGACTGCATCTGACCCTCTGACCCCACGACTCCACCCGGACGTTCTGAGCCTGCGTCACGGACTGTTTATAGCAATATTAACATTAATAATAACAGATTCACTCCTATTATTACTCCAGTCTTTGGATGATCAACAGGCTTGAACTTTTGGAACTAGCGTTTGACCATTTAGGGAATATAAGAAGGTTTAATGTTAAAAAAAAATATGTGTATCATGTTTCGATTTGAGTTTGAGGTAAAGTACTAATGACTCAAAATACACAGTAGACACACGTTTCCATTCAGGAGGTAAGATATTGGGTAAACAGCTCTTATAATAATTCTGTTGCAGTTTGTGACGAAGGGACGTTCAATGAAACCTCGATGCATTATGAAGATTCAGCGGCTTGACAACACAAAGACATGAGTCCCAGCAGCTGGTGTGAAATGTCTGGCTGTGTAGTCTTTCACAAAGAGCCGCTCAAATCTCTTTACAGCGCAGCAGCAGACCTGTGCAAACAAGCAGGAAGAGACATGCCTTGTTGGTCTTTTTGGATTTTTGGGAAGGATGCTCTGGTAAGACCAAACAAGTCTTTGTAGCAACAACAATAATATAGTTACAACAACAATATACACTTTCATACCTGGAGAAGTTTAATGTACACTCAAGATGACAAAAAAGTAAAATTGGCTGAAAAACGGAGGCATCTACAGAAGCCGCTGTAATTGATTTAAAGGCAGATCAACGTTTGGGCGTCTCGAGGCTGCAGAGCAGATTAACGCAGCGGCCTGACACACAGCCCGCAGGGTCTGACTGGAGTTTGTTTTCCAACTCACAGCTGCCCTTAAAGGCCACGATCAGGCTTTGGGTTTCAAAAGTATTCACCTTACTTTTTACTTAAGTATTCTAACTCATAACTAATAAGAGAGCTGAGACACACACACACACACACACACACACACACACACACGCACACACACACGCTCTAAACCGTATAAGGAAGGGGGCAGAGTCACTTGGTGAGACTTATTTTGAATTCCTTTTTTATTACTATATAAGTAGATACTTACAAAGCAATAATAGTGCTGCCGGTTGTATTTTGGGTGTGTCGGGCTGCATAAGCAGTACTCTGATGGTAACAGATGAGATTAGGCTGCTTTTGAGAGAACACGGTTGGAAATAGTGATCCTTTCAGGGCCCTCATGTCGTTAAGCCGATCAGAATCTGCTTTATAGTAACAGCCATGTTGACTTCTTACATCCATGGTTATTTCTGATAAATCCATTTACCTGAGTTTGATCCACGTAAAACTACAATTCACTGAGAAAGGAAAAACAATCCAAAAGGTTTCCTCCATGCAGCACCTACCTGATACGTGTTGTCAAAGCTGTCATACATGAACCGTGTGATCAGGGACGTCTTTCCAACTGCAATAGAGAAGAAGGACAGAATGTGTTAGATGGAAAGAAGAGGCTACGCCGTCCCCTGCTCCTCTGGATGCCCGATAGCCGCGGCCCAGCGAGCTCATGAGCGCGTGTGAGGGGGGACCGGCGGGTCCATATGTATTTACGACGCTTATGACTTGTGTAGTTGAGAGGATTTCATATTCTGGAGAATTGCAACTGGCATGTGTCTGTTGCTGTTTGTAAGCACAACATGCAAACGCTTGCCCCTCCTTCCCGGCTCAACGACACCAGAAGTTATTTCCCCCGACTGGGTTCGGCTCACGCTGCTCGCCAACAGGTCGAAACCAGCCCCAAAATACTACTTCTTCTTCTTTTCAATGGTCATATCTGTATAGGCACGTGTGTGTGTTATGGCTTTAAAGTCTGAAGGGCGTCGTATAGTTAAGGAAGGTGCATTTTCAACTCTCCCTCGTACACACTGACAGGACACATTTCATAGTCAGTGGTTGCTACGTTTTTATAGAGGTTGAGGCCCAGAAACATCTGAACACAGCAAAGCCAGAATACACAAGCAGAGGGGCTGCTGCGCAGCGCCGTCAGTGAGAAAGAGCAACACGCTGCTGCAAACCGTACAGTTTCGAAACAATGGTCGGCTCATTCCTTCCCCCCCATCAAGGTCTTCACATTTCAGATAAAAGCCCACAGGAATCCTGGACAATAACAAATATATCCTCTCATCAGTTAGCTTCATTTAATGCCTGTAAAGGAACATTCATTTTGGACAAGCAAAGAAAATATTTAATTCAGTGAAGCATAATGAAGGTTTGTTCAGGTACGTGACTTACAATGGAGTGGAAAATATGAATCCAATACCTACATCATCACCTCAGGGTCATCAGGCATGTTACTCCCAAATGAATCCCTTCTAGACAACAAGGCTGGTGAGATGGTTTACAGCTTTAATACTGGGGCAGCAGAATCCATGCCGTCCTCTTTACATATCCGCGTAGCAGCAGTGCAGATGGGTGACTGAGGGTCTTGGAACAGACCACCGTGTGAGAGCTGCAGGTCAAACCGATCATTCTGCAAACAGACGCTCCTCTGCACGAAGCTCACCACTGCTCTCTGTGCAGTTTCCCTCCCACGGTTGTTATTAAACATTTGGGATATTTCAATGAATCATTCGTGTGAAAGAGGTCTATTGTGACTGGATCCCTCGGTAAATATAATCGGTCTTCAATTCAAAGTTCATCGTGCTACAATCGTTGACAGAAAGACTTTTAATCAGGCAGACTAACTACGCGTGTCGGCGCCCTGGCCGGTTTCCATATCTGCGAGGAAAGATCGCATGTGCAGCTAGTGATTACGCTGATGACCTCATGCTAATTCATCAACGTCATCTGGTTCACTTTAGTCCCACTTTGAGCAAAAACCTGCTAATCTGTCAACTCAGTCACGGCCTATTTGAACTCACAACTCCATCGCAACTCGCCTAGTAAAGTGAAATTTAGTGTGAGCGTGCTATTTAAATAGTATGAAGGAGGGTGTCTTTGTTCAAACACAGAAAACAGCGTTTGTCTGCTCTCATGTAGGCCGCTAACGCTAGCACGCCAGGCTAACCTACGTGCATCGACCTCGCAGCACATCCAGGGCGGAGCGTTAGCACAATGTTAGCTATCTACATTGTTATGGGATACCTCCACTCACAATAAACATAAAGACTTTGTTCCTTTATCTGAACAAGGAACAACTGCAGCCGTTTATTCCACTGTGAGGCTTCAGCATAGGTACAAGACAGCTAACCCACCCTTAAATGCACATTTAATGCCTCTTTTTACTGCAGGTTTCTCTTTATATATTGACATTATTCAGTTGGAAAACTTTGAAAGTCAGATTTACAGGATTTTCAGTCTGTAAATTGTCTGTCTTTGGGTTTTGGGCGGTTAGAAGACAGCGGAGACACGTGCACTGTAACAGGCGCCGTCATTACTGGTTTAAAGCAGTGATGCGGACCATTGATGGAGCGGGATACTCACCGTATGTTACACTATTTTCAATATTAGTTTGTCACAGCACGCCTTCACGTCAGGGGTCATTAGAGAACAGAGTCTGATCCACCGTCCTTGTTACGGACGTCCTCCTCGGCCCGTTGGGGGACATGACTCAGCACTCTGAGAGCTTCCCATCTCAGACGACACGTCCCTATTTCTTCTTCTAGGTCGAGAACGCGCTGGAACTAAATCTGCACAGACACCTAAATTCCTTCCCCAGAATAAAGGGGGACAGGCGCACTTTGATTTCTCTTGGATGCACGTTTGAAACAGTAAAACACGATGAAGTGAGCAGTGGGCAGCGGGCGCTACAGAGACATCAACACGTCCTTAATGTCCCCATCCGACCTGTAGTATTCTCCTGAAAGGACTGACTGAGTGTGGCTATCAGCTTTTGTCAGTATCTCCATAACTCCAGGTCTGTTTGTGTGAATTTAATTACTGGGGCGGCAGCAGGAAGCTTAGTTACGCTTGTGGCTGCAATAGTTTAGAGAATTTTCCTTTTCGGCTGAAAAGAAGCGACTAACAAGGCAGATTTTTGATTACATTTTGGAATTAGCTCTGCGTTTGTGAACATTTCCCCACTCCGTAAGCTTTCCATCCGCTTCACTCGGTAACGCTTAACACTATTTTACAGATTATGATGGGATTCAAAAGATTAGCAGCTTTAGTCAGACATAAGAGTGAAATCCTCGATAACATAGCAGAGCTATTCTCTTCACTGAGACAAGCTCCTTCAGGCCCAAAGGAAGGACAACATTAAACTACAGAAGCTCTAATAGCGAACGGTGCAGCCGACGGAGGGGGGGGGCGGGGGGGTGGTGGTACTCTTGGTGTGCTGTCCGTGTAAGAAAGCCCCAGACTGTCTCGGGGGTTTGGGGCGAAACGCTGATGTCCTTTAATCCGCATGAGAGCTGAGCGCGTACTTCGATTACAAATATCAAAAAGGTTGACCGGTTTGATATTAAACTACAAACTGTCATTCAAGTCCTGATGTGCTCAACTCAGGGCGGGGACCTACAAATTCGTCCTGTCCTCAACTAGAGACGTTCTGGACCCTGGGGGGACCGCACTGGGACTTCTTGACAACATCCCGTAAAACCACATTTTCAATTTGCTTCTGCTGCACGTCTCCATTTGAGTGTTTTGGAGCAGCACACGGTTTTACTCAAATGGCTGCGGTCGTTTTACATGAGGAGCTATTCTTCCCCATTATGCCGCTGCAGGACGGGTTACACGGGATGAATTCATGAGGTTACATAATGCGTTTGAATCTTTAACATCGTAGAGCGCAGCGCTGTTGTACGTGAACTCGACGACACCAGATTCCATTTCGGGGAGGTCCACATGCCGGCATGGCAACATTTGATGATTATTGTTAGTAATATTATTACAGCCACAATGGCTACATTAGTTGGGTGATATATATTATTTTGAAAAACCATCGTTGTCACTGATATGATGATAACGTTGGAACATGCAGACACGCCCTTTCAGAGCAGTCAACAGGAAAACCCAGTGCTGTGATTGGCTCATGTGGAAGAGGACCGCCCACTTTGACCTCTCCTCTTTCTCAAAGCGCAGCGGGTTCACTAGTCTCCCAGCGGCGGGGAGACAGGCGGAGGGACGCGGTGCACGATAGATGGCTAGCGAGCTAGCTAGTGCTAACATAGTACATCGATGTAATGTACTTCACCCTAACGACACAAGTGACAGTGTGGGGATAATATTGTCATTAGGGCTGGGCGGTACGGCCAAAAAGTCATATCACAGCATTTTTTCTATGATTCTCGCAGTATTACAGTTATATCTCGGCATTATTTTGTACCCAGCATGCAGTTTTGTGTGTCATTTTATAAATGTACAATTATCAGCAGGTGTTTTACCCTGTTAAAGAGCATTAGTTGTGGATTATCAATTGTAGTTATAGTTACAAGATAATATATTGTTAAATATTTGTGGTCAAAGCCTAAAAATCAATCACTTCCAATCACAGGATTCACTCACGGAGGTGAGATTTAAATTGAAGAATTTTGACACGTCTTTTTTGCGCTAACATTTAACACTCTTAATTTTCCCTTTGTCGCTTCTCTCTGAACCATATAAATACAACTTACTGACCGAACTGAAACTAGACCTTTTATCAACAACAGTTCATATTCTGTAGACCCCTGATGCAGATATCTCTACAAACACAGGGCAGGAGAGTAAAGGAGTAAAGGATCCGCTAAGCAGATGGCTTAATACACAGTAACACAGATAAGGGAATCCTGCGAGGTGGGCTCCCAGTTACAGCCTTGGTTTTAATGAAGTCTCTGGTTGGCGTGACGCTTCAAAGGCTTTGTGCAGTGAGTTAGCAACATGACGGCCAATTAACGGCGAGGACCGAGCACCTGCTGCTGCACGGCGTGCGCGTTCACCAGCAGGGCCCCGCTCAGCACCGGGGAGGGCGCCTCATCAAGGCAGCTCAGAAGAGCTCAAAGCGCTATTATTCGCCACGTTAAAGGTCCTACACAGTTGGGTTCACATTAAGTTCTGCCATTTGTGAGCTATGCAACCACAAAGCTAGTTAGTTAAGGCTTCTGTCACCGAGGGACACAAATAATCTGTGGCGTAAGCACAAACGATACCACGGGAACTGTGGATAATTAAGTAATGAATGGGTGTGATTGAAAAACAGAAACGCTGTTAACGGCAAGACCTCAGTCTTTCACAGCAATATCTGCACTTTTACATAGTGCAAGTGTGCAAATGGGTTTTAAAAAGAAGAATATATACTTTTTAAATGTATTGGATTTGAAAAGACTATAGCCGATGCTTTGACGACAGTATTCATAAATGATCCTCTTTGCTATTCATCTATGGACCCACGCAGCAAATAACTGACCCCTACAAGCAGGTAAATCCACTGCTCGTCATTGGGCGGCAGTCATCACGGAACACCTTTGAGGACGTGGCAGCCAATCGGAG